TTTCTTTTCTTTTTTTTCTTTTTTTTCTTTTTTTTTTACTGGCCGGTTTCAGTTTCCAAGAAGAAGGGTTGCAAAACAAATAGCCCACCTTGCATACACATCCAGGTGCACATAATGAGATATAATGCATAACGGTACCCATAGATATTTTGCAACAAAGTGCGTGGCCGTTGCTTTTTTTTCCTTCCTTTCAAAAGGTACAAAAAATTAGTTTTCTTCATCACCCCCCAGGTAACTGTCAAATTATTTTATTTTACTTCAGTCATCTAGTTCCGTCTGGACTCGTACTCAGGGTTGTACTTCAACAGCTCGTGGGTGTACCAACTGAGCAGGCCGTTCAAGGGCCTTTTTTTTTTTTTTTTTTTTTTTTTTAGAGTTTTTTTTTTTTTTTTTTTTTTCTTTTTTTTTTTTTTTTTTTTTTTTTTAATTGTGAAAAACGCCTCGGCCTAGTAGAGGCGGCGATAAAAGCGTCCTCCTCTAGTGGGATCTTCAGGGCGTGTTTGTGCTGATGGGTAATGATAGATAATGACGGATGATGTTATATAATGATGGACGGTGATAGACAATGCGATGGATATGATGAAATCCATTGGTCTGGCAATACAGGCATTAAACATGGTAATAATGAAATCCATTAGTCCGGTAATACAGGGGCATTAAACATGATTATTTATATAAAAAAAAAAAAAAACATGATTATACTATTATACTAAAATCCATTGGTCTGGCAATACAGGGGCATCAAACGCAGTAGACGATAGATATGATAACAGCATGCTCGTGATGACGATAGATTGACGATAGATGACGATAGATGACGATAATCTAAAATATATTATAAATTATAATATACTTAGTGTTATTTATATAGTCTATTTTTTTATTCAATGAATTAGGAGAAAAAATCTTATTTTCACAAGAACTAGCATTCATTCCTATGTATGACTTTTTTTTTTTTCACAAATTTGATCATGATGCACAATGGGCCTCGCTACATAACATTACTCTCCAAATGTGCAAAATGAGAGTGAATCATCAGCTAGAACATGGAAAGATACATTGCCATATATTTTTTAATCTTTTGTGCATGTGGAGAGTACTGGAGCGAGGCCCAATGACAAATAATGATGAAGGATATAATAGGATAGATAACGAAATCCACTTTCCGTAGTGCAGAAATTGATGAGGGCCATCTTTTTTTTTTTTTTTTTTCCTTCATTTCTGTACATGTCATCCTCACCCTCACATATTGAGTACGACAACGAGTCTGAGATTCAGTCGAAGTTGTATAAGCACGGCATTGTCAGAGCCACTGAACTATTTCTTCGTTCTTCTCTCCTCGCGTTCCGTTCTTTTTCTTCTCTTCCCCTCTTTCTCTCTTCTGTTTTTCCGTTATTGTTTTTTCTTTTTTGTTTGTTTCAATACCTTCCTTCGCTTTCTCTCTACAGTTCTCTCCCACATTTTAGCTGCCTGATCTTCCACGTGTCACAAAGTAGACCTCGACACCCCACCATCATCAGCCAGAGAAATCGCACTGATAACCCTCTCTCTCTCTCTCTCTCTCTCTCTCTCTCTCTCTCTCTCTCTCTCTC